CCCCCACGCCGCCCCCGCCAGGCGCGGCGACCTCGAAGCGGGAGTTGTGGTCAAACGAATGGTTGACCAGGTCGATGCCCGGGACCATCAGCAGGCTGACGGGCTCATCGTCTGCTTCAAGTTCGTAATCCGCGACATCCTCGCCCCCCTCCTCGCCCTCCTGCGGCGGCGGCGCCTGCACTTGCTGACCTGGCAAACCGCCGCCGAGTACGCCGCCGAGCGCGCGGCCGAAAGTGCGCGACCGCACGAGCGACAGCGCCCAGGCGGTGGTCTCAACGCAGTCCGACAGACCCAGAGCCGCCAGCGGCGACGCGGCCGCGGCGGCTGCGAACCAGCGGTCATGTATCGAGGCTGCCTCTGCTCGCTGCTCCGCGGCGCGGTCCTGCGGCGGAGGGATGGTTTGGGCACACGTTGAGTGCACGAGAGACGCGGGCCGAGGATCACCAGAGGTAATCTGAAGGTTTGAGACCAGGTGTTGGCGGTGCGGATTTTCTACTTTTGGTTGTTTGAAAGGCTCGACGGTGCCAAATAAAGGCTGTCCCTGACCCCGCACGGCCAAAGGCGCAAGCCGCCGCTGCGGCTGCCGGCTGCACATCACAACGACGCCAGACAGGCGGCGTGGGGCCAGCGCACCCGCCACGCCGACAGCGCGAGCCACGCGTCCGCCTCGTCAGCGGTGTAGTCATAGAACGTGCTCATCTCATCCGGGCCGGGCAGCGAGTCGATGTATGCATCCCACAGGTCAGCAACCACGATGACGTCACCATCTGTACCGCTGTTGTCGCTGCCGCCGCTGCTGCTACTGCTGCCAACGCTGGTGCCGCTGCTGCTCCCGCTGTTGCTGGCAACTCTGTCCTGGGCGCCGCCGGGGCAAGCGGCGGCGCCCACGGCTGCTTCCCTGAGTTGGCTGCCGCCGCCGCCGCCCGCAGGGCGTCGCCGCCGCCGCCGCTGGATGAGCCATAGCAGCCATGCAGCCAAGCGCGCCTCCCAAACGGCGCCGCTCTGCTGCAGGAAGCTTGTCAGCGCCGGCGGCAGCTGCAGCGCGTGCGTGAGCGTCCATTCGTCGAGCGCAGCTGCTGCCGCCGCGCCGCCGCCGCTGGCTTGGGGCGGGTGCTCAGACACAATGAGGGCGTTTGCAATTGGGACAGCCAGCACCTCCTCGCCTTCTGAAATGGATTGGCTGGCGATCAGGCCGCGGTAGCCGCCCGGCGTCAGGCCAGCATGTGCGCGCGGTGGCGCAGCGCACGCGCATGCGAGGATGCGGGCGGCGGGGTCGGTGCCGCCGGTGGCGCCGCTCGCAGGGCCGGCGTGGCCATCTGGCGCGGTGGCGGCCGCTGCCGCCTGAGGCAACCAGCAGCGGCGGCAGAGGGGTCGGCTCGCGAACTGGAATGCGAACCGCTGTTGAGGCTCGTGGCGGGAGCTGCTGGCGCAGCCCCGCACGCTGCGCTTGCACAACACCATGCTGTGCTGCGGGAGCGCGCGCATATGGCTGGGAACCCTGTGAGAAAATCAAGGTTGTGAAATTAGCGGTTTGATGTACACATCCTCGATCGACAATGGCATCCGCTACTTCAATGCTACAGTACGGTGACATTCAGATCTGGTTCCTGAGTTCCCCGGAACACACGCAAGAGAAACATTCAAGCCATCTGCAAGCTTGAACGGACACCGCATCGTTCTCATCCTGTGGCATATGTCATGATGTCAGTGCAGCCGTCCAGTTGGCGGCTTGACTCGTTCGAATTCGGGGCGTGCACACAGCAGGTGACCCCATGATTTCCTCGCGGATATGGGCTGTGGCTACCTGTGCGCACCAAATGCATGCACATCATGTACCCTACTCACTGAGCAGCTGCTCACCAGGCTCGCAATCAGGCTGCTCTCCGCGTGGCACAGTGTCCTGCTGCCTGACACACCTGGTCAACATTGCACAGGCAGGACGGCGGGGGTGGCCAGGTGATGCCCTCCACCTCATCCTGAATCCACCCAGAAGCTTCACATTGCATTCTTGTTTTGCTGCCATAAAAGCTGTGTGCAGATCGCACCTCGCCGTTCGAATGTCAACATTTGCGCATCATCTCCCTGCCATCACAGAGGGTCTGCTTGGGCGGCGCCGCTGCCAGGTGCGTGCGGCCGGCAAGGTTCTGTCCAGGGGTACAAATCTATGCATGCAAATGCAATGCAGCACATATCTCGGGCACATGTCACATATGTCACTGGCCAGCCTTGCGATTCCCCCTTCTCACTTGCTCCTGTATGTGCGTCGGACCATAGTCCCAACTCTGCCGCTGGGGGCGGAGGTGACTGCCGCAACCCAGCTCAGCATGAGTGGCCGCACAGTAGAGAAACCGTCGGCGTTCGCAGTGGCAGCGTGCTGCTTTGGTGCCAGGCGCCCAGCCATTAGCGAGTGCGCCTTATGTGCATTTATGCTTTTACCGACCCCTTAGTCATCATCCAATTGATGTTATAGCACAGACTGTGTTCCTGGTCTGAGCTGCTGCAAGGCCATGTGCAGAAGTATGGTTACACGTGCAGCCGCTGGCGAATCGTCGCTCACAATGTACACCAGGTCTATCAGAATATCTCATTTAAGGCCAATTATATCGTAGTTCCAGAACTATGCAATTACCCTCTCCCAGCCCCCCAAGTGCAGCCTAGTGTGCACCCCTCGCTCCTTTCTGTTGCAAGGTCGTGTGCTCGCCAAGGTTGAAGGGATCCATGATGCAGTGCGCAGTTCTCACAGGGAGCGAGGCCTTGAGCATAGCCATGGGCGGACGCGTGTTCGCGCGAGGCTGGCACAGTAATCACTCGTCACACCAACAGCACCGCATGCCACCTCGGCCACGCACATGTAGGTTGTGTGCATGGCAGGATGCGTTTCATGCTTCCGAACGAGCCAAGATTGTTGGGCAGGGCCTGACAAGGCTCGTGCAAATGATATACAACACTAAGAGAATTGGGATGATGCGTAATTTATCCAAGCAAAATGCATGCCGCCACTATCATTATTGTCATTGGCCAGCCTTACCCTGTGAAGATGCATTGTTGCATCCTCGCCAGAATCAACGACATTGCTCCGAAAAAAGCAACGCGTGCAATTGCCATCGGGTGCATGCGCTGCAAGATACCAGGCTGGCAATCGGCAGAACGCTTCCGAATCGGTGATGGCAACCTTGGACGGTGGAAGGGTGTACGGGGGACGGTTTGACAGAGCAACGGCAAGCCGCGGACGCTTGTGACGTAGCGTGCATCGGCTGGCATGGCCGCCGCTGTTGAGTGGCGTTCAACGTGCTGTGAAGCCTGGTGCGTGTGCACTTTTGCCATTGATGACAACAACAAGGGAGGAGAAGAGGTGAAACGGGGCAATAGGGCTGCATCTTGTGGAATCTGTATTCAACATCGATGCCCCATAGACGACCACAAATCTTGTGCGATTTATGCAGCCTCCGTGAACACGATCGTACCCCCAGACGACAACCCTTGTGTTCCCTGATCAATAGCTCGCCACCACTGCTGATGGGCAGAGCCCGCCAGCAAGTCTGGGCCAGGCGCCTGCAGCAGCCCGGTGGCCGCACCTGGGCCGCACGGACAGTCGCTGTAAAGTGTGGTTGCAATCAAATGCAGCCGGCACTGCACAGCCGGCAACACCACGGCATGACTTCAAAAGCAACAGCCTTTTGCACCCCAGGGGCGCTAAAGAGAAGGGGTTGCAAATCATAAAACACTCTGCACAGCAGGTGTGCCCATTTAAAAAGGGGCAGTCACACTTCTTGGATAGTTCAATTGTCGTCCCGCGCTCTAGACGCATGGTCTTTGGGCAATTGCAAGCGGCTTTGATGCTGGCCGCCAGGCACAGGCGCTTTCACCACCCAATAGAAAAGGCGACAATTGAATCTTCTGGGCAGGTGCGAGATCCCTGCAGCTGGGAGCACCTCCAATCATCGAGATCTGATACAATCCAAGAAGGAATTAGAAACGAGTCGGGAGACAAGGCAGGTGGGCAGGCAACAGGCCTGCAGACTCGGGTCGGCTGCGTCGCTCATGCCACCGGGCTGGTGAGGCAGCCAGCGTAGCAGCAGAGGGCATGCCCTTGCACACACGTGTGGCCAAGAAAGCGGACAGCAACATCAACGGGCAAGGCGCCCGCGTTTGCGCAAGAAACGATGTACGGGCCGTGCATCGGTGCCTGAGCAGGACTGCAAGTCGTAATCCAGACTACTCTTGTCAACGGATGGATGTTTGGTGGCAGCACGTGCACAATACGCACTAACCATGACCCTGGGCCTGGCGCGTGCCAGGTAAGGCGCCCCAAAACCCGGGTGCAATCGCGGTTGCGCGTGAAGGCGTCGGGGAAGGGGCTTGCTGAGCTAAGAGAGCTCAAGCGCGCGGGATGACCGCGGCCACGAATCAACGGCCGAGGCGCGGCCGCGGGGATGAGGCAAAGCTGCGAGGCAGCGGTGGTGGACAGTACAAATGTCGAGCCAGGCGGTGAGGCAGAGGGGCTGCCAAATGGTGCGAACACAGGCTGTCAATTTATTTCCACGTGGAGCGCGTAGGGTTTTTCCAAGTGTGTTGTAGTCTAGATCGACAGGGTCTGAAACGTGCAGATGACCCAGGGAGGGCGCTGCGGGGGTCAACAGCAGCGGGCGGCAGGACGTCCCGCGCACGCACAGGCCTGCTGCAGCAGCGTATGGGCCGGCTGGCGGGGCGGGACGTCCTAAGGGCCGCTTGGGGGATCGTCCCACCAGGCAGGGTGAGATGCCAAGGCGGCGCCAAATCATTAATTTCATAAGTGCCGCCCGATGGGTGGGATGGAATGTTGTGACAAGAGGGGTGGGGTGCAATAAGGTATCAATGAGATGGATGTGCGTCAGGGCAGGTGGGCCCGGCAAAGGAGGAGCAGCAGAAAAGAGGGAGTCAACATCGCGATGACTGGTGCTGCCTATTTTTCTGTTGGGCATTGTACATGATGCGCAAAACCTCAGATGTACCGTAGGCGGGGTATGTCTTGTTCAAGCCATGGCTTCGAGGCGCGCCGCAACGGCAGCCATCGTGGGGCGAAAAGAGGCGGCAGGCGCCATGCAGTCTGCCGCCAGGGCACTGTAGGCGCAGCGGGTGGGGCCGGACGTGGGGCCAAGCACTCCGCGGCAGGTGTCCAGGGTCTGCAGCAGCAGGGCGCCTGTGTATGCGGATTGAACAGACGTGATAGCCCATCACCGAGTGAGTGTGTGCCTCACATTATATAGAGGGGCGGAGAACAAATGCCTGGCTGCGTGCGTGTGGGGTGGCTTGTGTGCATGAAACTCTCAGGCCTGTGTGCGTGAGACTCCAAGGCTTGTGCATGAGGCTCCTAGGCTTGTGTGCAGGAGACTCACTTCAGAAGGGGCGCAAGGCTGTGATTGCCCCACCGACAACAATCGGGACAGAGATCACCTTGACCCTTGACCCGAGCCAGAGCTCACCAAAAGCATACACATCGCCGGCGAACGACGCGGCTGGCGTGCCCCCGCTGCAGCAGCGCGCGCAGTTGCCCGGGCTGGCGGTGACGACGACGAGGCCGTCTGACAGGAGCCCTCCGTCTGAGCCTGCTGAGTCAGCGCCAACAAGGGTGCTGTGCGAGGCGCCGCCGGCGAGGGAGAGGGCCTCCAGGGGGTCGCCGCGGCCGCCCAGGCGAGGCAGGATGCGAGCTTTGCCGAAGCCACCCAGCTGCGAGTGAAGGGACGCGTGGGGCAGGAGGAGTGGGGATGGCGTGATGGCCAAAGCGTTGAAACTGGGGGCGACCGACACCGGCACAAGGATTGCGCTCGGTGCAGCAGCCGCCTCTGCAACAGGGAACGGACACGGGGTGCATCTCCTTATGATAAATCAAGGGGCGGGCACCGCGTGCCGCCGTTGATTCAGAGAGGGTGGGTTGGCGCCGTGCCGCACCTTGGCCTGCACGCCTGGCCCATCGCGATCGGCGCTGGTCTTTAGCAGGACGTTTTCAGCCTGCAGGGAGGAGAGGTCAAGGTAGCCGACTCAGGACTCCTGGTAGACAGGTCTACGCAAGGACAGCAGAAAGCCAGTCCCGAGGTCCCCAAATCCAGCCTGTGCGCCAAGCCAACACAGCCTGCGCTAGGTTATGTGAGGCCCGGCGAGAGCGGCGCCGGCGTTCGGGGCCGCTATGCTGCCAGCACAGGCCCCACCTCGACACCGCCATGTGCGAGGCCAATGGAATGGAGGTAGTGGAGGCCGGCTGCCACGTCCAGCAGCAGCACGGCCACACCCCAGGGGGCGCCGGCGGCGGGGCCGGCGGGCAGCGCGCCGGCGGCAAGGGCGTCGCGCAAGGTGCCTCGGTCGCAGAGCTGGGGGGGGGGGGGTTCACAGAACGGGTGGGGCAAAGAATCGGTTTCTCAGGAATCGGAGCTGCTGCCACCAATTTACTGGAACACAGGAGCCAAATGAGTGATCACAAATGTAGGATTCTGGGGCGCGTGGAGCGGCAATCTGCAGGTGCACAGGTGCAGCCAGGAACCGGCCGCTGCGAAGGGGTGTCGGGCACACCTCCATGATGAGAACGTCGCAGGCGGCAGCGCCGTGGGCGTCCTCCCCAGGCAGCAGCCCGCGGAAGGTCAGGGTCGGCGCCGGCGACCTGGTGTCGTCTGTGCGAAGTGGGTGAGGGAGCACGTGTACGGCCGCATCAGAGGTTCTGTGCCGTGACGGGATTGATGAACGCCGGTCATGGATTTTGGTAGCCCAACCGGAGGGAAGCCAGGGACCAGGTGTGCTGCGCGGAATAGCTGCGGCCGTTTCGCCCACCTGGCAGCCGTGCCATGTCTGGCAGGCAGGCGTAGGCCTGGACGATGCTGGGGTGCTGCACGCTCGACAGCACGGCCATCTCCATGGCGTGGGCCACAGCCTGCGCCGGCGGTGTCGAGCATGCGGGGCACAGGAGGCAGCGGTTGTGTGCTTGTGACGCATTGAAGAGCATCCTATGGCAATGTGCGCTCGGCAACATGCCGAGCATGCAGCTGCACCGCCTGGCGCTCGCACTCCCCCCCACACACACACGCACGCATGCACACACGCATCAACGCACGCACACATGCACACACGCACGCATACAATTTCAGTCACCTACCTTGGCCTGATCGTTCCCCCCTGAGTGCATGACCTTCACAGCAACAGGCGCGTTGCTGAACAGCCCCTGGTATACGCAGCAGCCGTCGCCGCAATCGCTGCTGCCGCTGCTGCCCCCCAGGCGCCTGGAAACCGCCACTGACAGCTCCAAACGCTCGTCCAGGAAGCCAGATGAAGCAGGGGGGCCAGCGATCGCTAGCGTTGCCTCTAGGAACGCTGTGTCGAGCGCTCCCACTTGGACCTGGCGGTTCACAATTGGGTTGAGGCACCGGTAGGCGGTGCGGTCGGTGCGGCGGTGGGAGAGGATGCACGATGAGTGCTTGCTGTGGCGCGCCACATGTATGGGCGCTTGAGGCTGCGTGCTTGCCCGCCGCAGCCGCATGGTGCGTGCGGTGCAGAGGGCGCCGCGCGCAACCGGCGTCGCCCCGCACCTCGTGCGCGGCGGCGTGCGCGGCCTCAAGCCAGTCGTTGCAGCGGCGGCTCCAGTGGTCGGCCGCGCCGTGGCCAACCTTCAGCCTCAATGTAGAGGGCGCGTCCGCCGCCGAAGACGCGCACGCGCTGGCTGGCGGGCTGGACGCCTGGGAGCCGGCCGCGGCCGCCGGCCCCACACGCGTGCGCTGCTGGCTGCTAGATCCGAATGAGCTTTCAGGGGCGAGCTGGGCGGCCCGCGCAGCATCCGCGGCGGTAGCGGACGCTGCCTGCGGCTGCACGAGCGCGCCGACCTGCGCGTGGTGGTGATGGTTGGGCATTTGCGTGGGCGCGTGAGTGCGAGCGCTGGTGTTGACAGGCGATTGAGTGTTGGTGAGGTTGCTGTTAGGAGCGGCACGCCGCGCGTGCAGGAGGGTCACAGCAACCCCGCCAGAGGCCAACACAAGAAGGCTGGCGTTCTCTTGCCGGGGCATTCAGGAACACGGGGCAGGTGCGGGCGCGGGCCATGCGGCGTCGAGGGCGTTGGAGCCGCACACGCCGTGCGTGCCCCCGAGTTCCTTCGCCCATCCCAGGCGCCACCTGCTGATAGGGTGTGGACAGCGGCTCTGCGTAGTCTACCTCAACCATTTCTAATGGTATGCGGCTTCGCCGCGCCACGCTGCGGGGCAGCGGCGCCGAGAGAACCGGCCATATGGTAGGGGTAGGTCCCGTGATCCTGTGACTGGCAGGCGCCGGCTGGTCGCCTTGGCCACGGCCGTCTGGGCAGAGCGTGGGCTCAGGTAGCTCATAATAATGCAGGGAAGCTCTGTTGCCCATCGCTGCGGTGGGTGCTGGAGGTCCACTTGGGTTGCCCGTGGCGAACTCTCAGCCTGCGTCCGGGTGGTGTTGATCGTCGCAAGCGTTGCTGCTGTTGCTGGTCAGCAGATAAAAAAATTGGCCACGCTAACGTATTGTCTTCAACGTTCAAGTCAACCACCCACCCGTATGGTTTGCCGGGCATCACCGGATGCTGTAAGTGAGCCACTCATTACCAGAGCCCCTTACACCTCCAAATGCGGGTTACATGGCTTGGGGTTGCCTGAAAAAGTGAATCCTACCGTCTTTTGTGTGAACGACGCAATCACAAGCCTGACAGGATCGACGTATCCGATTTGTCATGCAGCCCGTTGCCAAACTGTGAAGTGCACCTATGACAGAGCAGCCACTGTGACCGAGTGGAATGTGCTGCTGCCAAACAGCGCCGATGCAGCCCCAAGTTGCTGCAATCATGCATGAGGGCACGCCGCCTGCCAGCTGCCAAGCGTGCATCATCATGCAAGGTGACCCCATAGAGGGCTGCTTGCTGTTTTGCTGGGGCATCATTGCAATCGAGATGCACACGCAGATGTGACACGTGACAGAAGGCGCCCTTGTAGGTTTTTGCATGCTTGATTAAGTACACCAACACAGTAGTCTAGTACAGGCCTAAGGGGACACTGCCCACAAGGGAGCAGTTGCAGCCTAGACTCATTGACCAGCTCAATGGGGTGTGCGCTCAAAAAAGGAGTCGCCATCAATCAGGCCTAACATATCTCTCAAACAAGCCTAAGGTTGGTGCAGTATACAGGCTGCCAGCTTTCTCCTTGACTCACGTGAAGTGCATGCGTGTGTCGCAGCAGGGCGCGAGCTTTGTCATGCATTGCGTGCTGACAGTCGCCTTGCAGGGGCGCCTCTGCCGCCCTGGCCATACAGCGGCGCGACGTCTATATATTCAAGTCAAATCTACTCCAAAGGAATTTAATAAAGTGCTGACAACGTAAACGATGATCCGCGCGGCCACATGTGACGCCGAGATCAGGGTACCGTATTGAAACGTTCGACCGCTCGCAGGCGCCTTCATGTAGCACGTTGCAGAGATCCGCGTGACCCGTGAGTGGTGCAGTTGCATCGCACGTCCGCAAGGCGTGCGCCGACCCACACACTGCATGCGCGCACAGTGACGAATGCGCCCACCGTGCCCGCCGACTGTGCCCCTGCCCGCCGCATTGGGACTGGTGCCAGGGAGATCGACCACGAAATCCTGGCGTACAGAACGCTCAACCAGCTGCCGAACCAGGTGCGGCCCGCTTCCTTTGCTTTGCTCTGTTACATTCGTCTAGGCCAGCTAGACT